TCATGCTGTGCTACACTTAGAAAAAATTTTCTAAGTCCTAATTGCTGCCGAACCATCGGTTGCATGTCCAGCAGAGGGTGCCCAGCTACCGAAGGCTCCTAAGGGCTAGCTACAAACAGATAGTATTCTAAGTCCTAGACATACATTCAAAAATACCGAAGGCATACATTCAAAGGAGAAGGCGTACATTCAAAACATAAGGTGCATTCAAATATAAAAAGCCCGGAGGCAGCATGCATTTCATCAAAAACAGGAGTAAGTGTGAAATTACAAGCAGGCCGAAGCCGAGGGATGAATAATGTCATCATTACAAATATATGTTTACATGATAAAAAGTACATATCAAATCATGTTACTCCCGGGGGCAGCCTCCCCCGATGGCTTCGAGGTCACTTCTGCGTCGGCCTCAGGCTCGTCGCCCTCGGCCTCCTTCATGAGCTCAGAGTCCTCTAGGTCTGGTCTCTCGACATCGGGGGGAAGAGGAACGCGGATGTCTGGCTGCAGGGGGGAGCCCGTATGCTGCCGGGTCAAAGTCCTTTGGCTCGATCTTCAAGTGGCGAGCCATCCTCCGATAGATGAGGGCTTGAGTGAAAAACTCGCCCCCATCGTAGTATTGTTTACCCTTTCGGGAAACCCACTCCACGCCAGGCCCATCACACCACTCGTCGACCGAGGACTCGACGACCGAGGACAGCCATTGCTTGTGCTCCTCGGACCGCCATCCCCCTGCCAAGAACCCCGAGATTGCGTCCTCCCGGGCTCTCTCGACGGCTTCAACCTTCGCGGCCTCGGCTTCCTTGGCAGCCTTCTCCAAGGCCTCAGCTGCGGACCTCTCGGCGTCTGCCCTACCCCGATCCGCGGCCTCCGCTCGCAGGGTCATCTGCCGAAGGCTCTCCTCCAGCATGGCCATCTGCCGGACAGCGTCTGCATTCTGGCGGAAGAGCTCCCGCATCTTGGCCTCCTGCTCGGCCTTGCGAAGGCGCCACTCCTCTAGCCGCCGGGCTTGCTCCCCGAGGGCAATGCAGGTCTGCAAAAACAAAGGGGTTAGCAAGGCCGAATATGGTTTCTAAGCTCCAAGTAAAACGGAAAGAAATAGGCGTGAAAGACTTACTGTAAGGGAGGACCGGAGGATCCTGTCCTCGAGGGCTTCGTCTTCATCAGCCCCGAGGGCAACCCTGTCAATCTCGAGGGTGATGCCTCGCAGAAGCGCCCTCGGGTCGGCGGTACCATTCATCACGGCCGTACCAGCCGGGAGGGAAACCATGAGGACCTCGGAAGATGGCCCCTGAACTCCCGACGGCACCTTCGCCACCTGCATATCCTCATCTGGCCCGGGGGCAGGGCCTTCATCAACAATGACCACCGGGGGGGATTTCTTCCCGGCATCCCCAGTCTTGGGCTTCTTGCCCTCGGGATCTCTGCCCGAGCCCTTCCTTTTGGCGGCAGCAGCAGCATCAGTGCTTGGGCCCACCGACGGCCCCTCCGGTTTTTTGAAGAAGTCACCGGCGGGTTTTGGGACACCGGCGTCCGTCCCCCTCGGGCCCTTGGAGGGTTTCTTCTTCTTCAAGTCTACAAGGCCTCTGACATTCATCATTTTCACTGGGACACCTGCGAAGAAACAAAGGAATGGGGTTAGAATCGAGGGGACGCTGACCGAAGGCACAAAGAACAAAATATAAAACAAAAAAAAACGAACAGGATAAGTTATGTGCTAAGGGACCTCGTAGACTACCTCCTGTTCCCCCGAAGGCCTCAGCAAAAACGGGGGTACTTCTCATCCGCTTCACCAATAAACCGGTATCTGCGAAAGCCGAGGGCGTAGAATCCCTTGTCGGCAGTATAGTCTTTAATGGAGACCTGCTTGGTGCGACCCTCCGGGATTTTTGCTATCACCAGGCCGTCTTTTTCGAGGGCGGCGCTTCCAACCTTCGGATGCCGACGGAAGCGATCCCGAAGTTCCGCCGGGAATGGGTTCTCAGCAACCCTGACATAGCACCAGCGCTCCTTCCAGCCCTTGTTTGACGAAGGCGCCTCCGTAAACAGCTTCCACCTGGCCACCTGCTGCAGGTTGGTGAAGCCCTCGGCATTCGCGTGACCCCCTCGACAGAGGTTGAAGCTCTGGAAGAACAAGTCCAGGCTGGGGGTCACCCCTCGGTCCCTACAGAGGTTTAGAAAACCCGCCACGTAGGAATGGCTATTAGGTGTCAGCTGGCAGGGCACCAAGCCGACGAACCTCAGGTACTCCCGGAGGAAGGGGTGCAGCGGGAACCGAAGGCCCATGGAGACCGACAGCACGTGTACTGCAATGCACCCTTCGGGCGCCCGAGAGAGCACATCGTCAACTCCCGGCTCGACCACCTCGGCCGAGGGCCCTACATGTAGCTGCGTCACGTAGAGGTCCGCCCTGTCCGCCTTCGACTTTATTTCCAGGGCAGCCGTGTTGAGCCAGGAATACCCCTCCGGCATATCTACGGGTTTCCCCTGATCAGCAGCTATGACCTTCTTCTTAGGGACAGCCGCCTTGGCCTTCTTCTTCCCGGGGGCCACCCGGATGGGAACCGCGTTCAGCGGCTGGGAAGTACTGGCCTCACCAGCACCCCGAGGGGGAAGGACGGCCACAGTGACCTTCGCCCTCTCCTTCTCCTCCTCCTCTTCAGCAACTTGGACGGCGAGGGCCAACTCTTCATCCTCGGCAGTTCGCTCGAATTCCTCCGCCTCGGCCTCAGCCGTCAGATCTTTCTGCACCTCAGTGGCGAGGGCTGCATCACCACAATCCGAGGGCTGATCACTGCTTGACTCCACATCGGAGATGCCTTCGTCCTCCATCGAGGGCGTCCTCGAGATGTCCTGAGAGTCACTATGGGACGACATTCGCTTTCTTGTTCGAGGGCTCGTAGACGGTAGTGTTTCCTAACTTTTCTATCTCCTAAACTAAGGGCACAGTACAGCTATGCTAGAAGGAGAAAGGCAGGGAGCACTGACCTCGAAAGCTGAGTTTTGGACCGAAGGCTGAACTTTCTCTCTCTAGAAAAATTGACAGAGCTTCGCTAACAAGTTTATCGCACACGGAGGCATGCCTGGCCTTGGGGTATTTATAGGCGCTGGAATCCGGGCTTGGGCCTGGGTTCCGGGCCTCCGGATGGACGCCATCATTACGCGCCGTCGTTTCACCCAACCGGTGACGCCGCCCACGAACAACCAACCATCACACGCCACGTGTGCCATCCCCCCAACGGCTATATCCTGTCGTTACGTATTCCAACGGCTATATTTCCAACGGCTATATTCTGGAAGCCCCCGGGTTTTCTACTTCACTCCACTCCATCAAAGATAGCCTCCGGGTACAATCACTCAGAAGTGCCCCCGGATTGCGCCCCACACAGCACATAACAGACGCCTTCGGGATCACTCCTTCAGAGACCCAGGGCTTCATATCAGGACACCCCCTCGGGGATTCCCCCTCAGCACTGCAAAACTGGGTAGCCCCCGGGGAGTTTCCTCATTGACGGATGGCCCCTGGCACACAGGTAATGGGGAGCCCTCGGGTATCTTAATCACCAACAAATCAACAAACAGTGGACCCCCCCCCCCCCCCCCCCGGTAAACACTTCACTGCTGCCCTCATCTGGCAGGCCCTCGATCTCTGGATTGAGGGGCTCCCCTTCGGCACCACCAAGACATCAACAGCAAGCCTTCGGCTAATCAACACAGGAGCCCTCAGAAGAGAGAGCCTTCGGCATTCCCGCCATTCTCCATTTTTTGCCAAGGTTTGACATTTTCGCTTCATCATTGGGGGAATTCGGTGCACTCTTTTTCCCTCATCAGGATTTTTTCCCAAAGGGTTTTTCCTAATGAGGTTTTTAACGAGGCATCCCCCCAAAATGAAACGAAAAGCGTCAGCCTTCGGCCCACAACAGCAACGTAACTACTTTACTCCTTTTCACCACTTTACAAGTGCCTCAAGGAGTGGGGGACTGGAGGACCCCTTCGGGAAAATCATTAAATTACAAAATCTGTGAAATTCCAACAAACAACAAAGCAAGCCCTCAAGTCCCGACATGTGGGTAACTGAGGGACTGCCTTCGGCAGGGACATAAAAGCAGCAACTCCTCGCCAACTTCAGAGATCACGACAGGACAACATCAAAAAGCAAGCACAAATTACTCCTTTTCCCTCAAGTACCTTTCGGCAAAAGGAGTGAGGGACTCCTGATGGAGTATATGGCCCGGGAACCCCCGGCCCACAGACTCCTACTACTCCATCAAAGGCCCAACAGGCCCAACAGGCCCAAATCACAGCGCCCAGAGTACCAAGCAGTCCGCACAACGCACAGGGGTGCCTTCGGCCCCCTGTCCGAAGGCTCCAAATTATCGCAGAGCGGGTTTCTCAAGCAAACTAAGAAACTGGGAGAAAACGGCGAAAACAGTAGCCCTCGGCACTGTGAGCCCTCGGCACCAGGGGTGCCATCGGGAGGAAGAGCCCTCGGCTACTGCTCTATAGCCGAAGGCACCTCACTCGACAAGATATCTGCCTCACATGCGTACAGATCACCGTACCCCGCACAGACGTCCCGTCCAACAGCCGCATTAAATGCGGCCACATGCGGCTGCCAGCGCCAACCAGTTGAGGTGACCCCTCGGCCAATGAGCGCTTGACACGTGTCCCTGCCCGGCATTTATTGCTACTATAAATAGCACCCCATTTCCCCATTTGTAACCACGCTGAAAACGCCCCACATTTATAATACACTCTCTCTCTCCATATTTACTTGCTCTGACTTCTCTCTAGATTACTCTCCGTAATAACCCTTCGGATATATACCCCCGGGTAGACTATCCATCAAAATCTTTAAAAAAACAATTAAAAGAACCTTTGTCAAAATTGTGATCTCATGGCATCACTGTTGATCTCTCAAAGAGAAGGTCACATGTTCTAGTCTTGTCTCAATCAAGGATGTTGGCATTATCATGAGTAGATATTATAATAGGTTTAGAAAAATATTCCAAAAAAAAGTTTTTCAAAATCAACAATAGACCAATATCTATATATATTTCAGTGCATGTTCTGTATATCACATGGTTAACATCTTGCATTTTAAGAACTTAGCAAAAAAACTTCTACCTTTCTGAGCTACTAATTTTTTCTTGTTGGGCTAAAAATAAGAGATTAAGTGATTAACTACATATAACATATACATCTGACTTCTAAATGAAGAAGTGAGGCAACACAGACCGTAGTGATACATTTCTGGGAGAAAGATAGCATGTGGAGATGAGTGACCTAACAAATGGATGAATTCATTGAGGTGAATCTCAATAGCCAACCTACTCATGCCAGCAGTAACATGGAGTTCGGTTCTCGTCCATGTACTCTCAATCTGTAGATGCAAGTATGTGAAGTGCTCCCGTGATTGGATGAAAAATCAAACCTGATTGTGTCAACAACACAGTTGGCTGCAGACTCTAACACATTGTAAGTTTGAGCATTGCTCTTTTCAAGATCATATGTGAATTCCGTCAACAGACACATCTTCTCACTATATGGAGTTACATCGGCCATGTCCTGTCCTTGGAGCCATCCTGAGACCCTGCAGTCCTTGGGAGCACTAGACCTATCATAAGCAACACTCTGTTCACCATTAACAAAAAAATCAGCGACACAAAAATTGAAGAGAAGAATGAATTTTTCTGAAGAAGAATGTAAACATGAAGGACATGTTAACAAATAAATTCAGCTACTATAAAGCTATTTTGAAATTGCAAAAGCAAAAATGCATATGCTAAGTAAACCCATCATGGCCTGTTGGGGACCGCTCCATGGACGAATAAACAACACGCTAGTTATCCCTGAAAAGCATAGTCCTAAATCTTAAAACATTTTGTTATTTCAACACATTTCCTATGGTTGCCAAATTGAAGTTACCTGTGATTTATTGGACCGGGATTCTGTTTCTTGACGTAATTGAAAAATTCAAGGAGAAGAGCATAGAAAAAAATGAGCAAACCATTGGAGAAAAAATGATACTATCTACGAACTAACCATAAAAACTTATTACATACAGAGTATAATTTTGATAGAATAGCAAGGCATATCAGGCCATAAAGGCTTCAAAAGTTGATCGAATGCAACATTAATAGGTAGGTATTGCTGACTAGGGACACAGTAAGGCTAGGTTAATGAGTTAATAGTCAAGTAAAGAAGAGGGAGATTCATGGTGACAAAAACAAATTCAGTTCTTTATGGTTATGTGATAAAAAAACTAACTGCAAAAGAAAGAAGACAAAAGAAGAAATAGAACTTTGGGTAAATTTTCAAAATATTAACTGATAACAGAAATTTCCGATGTTAGAAATTCAGAATAAAAAACAACAAAAAAGAGCACAAATTAAACAACATATATAATGGGAAAATATCCATCACGCGATCTAAGGTTTAGCTCATAAGAGTATACATTCTAGGTACTGCACAGCCACCTACTGATAGATAGTGTACTGAAAGGGACCTTTTCAATATCCCTCATATATTGCCAGCTAGATAGTGTACTGAAAGTGACCTTTAGAATATCCATCATACATTGCCAACTAGATAGCAGAAAGGCATGTCAAAACATTGTGTGATATCGTCCTCCATGGCCAGCAACTATCGATGTCTTAAACTCTTGACTCTTGATATGAGACTCATAAAACAATATGTTTTCTAAAACAACACCAACAACCAAGTCTTAACCCACACCATTAGCATTGGCTACATGAGCTATAAGAAAATCAACCAAGGCTGTCCACAAAAATCCTCATTTGCCAATCTTTTTCAGCTTCTACCTTAATTTTCATCAATAAGTTTTCTACAATTGGCCAAACCATTTTGAGACTAAGGCTTGGAAGTTGTTGTTCTATGTTTTCTACAATAGCCCCCAAAATGAATGTTTTCCTTTTTTGACGTGATAGTAGTTATATTGCCAACAAAATCAATAACAAGCCTATACATGTATCATGTATGAAAAGATAATATTACAATATAAAAAATGCACAACAGAGTACAGAGTACTTAGGAGCCAGGATTAAAATAATCTGAATCCTATACATCCAACATAATTATTAAAAGTCAATAAACTGAGAGATCTTTCATACCAAGAATGCGAAGCAGATGATGGGTTTCTTTTTAATACAGAAAGCGGAAGAACTCAACACATAGTTTAATCTTTCAAGTCTTAGTCTAAATAGAAACAGGTTATAACAGAAGTTCCAGGTTAGGACTAACTAAAGTAACTATCAGGCAGTTATGCCTGATAAAATAAAATAAATAAATAAATAAATATATAAATAATTAAATGGATGGATGGATAAATAAATAAATAAATAAATAAATAAATAAATAAATAAATAGGTTACAGGGAATATTTAAAAGTAAACTAAATATATGCCCCACATTACTATTAAATTTGAAAAATCTTATTAAAAATAGAATCTGTTTCAAAATCAGTACTCAATAGTCAAAAGGTAAATCAGTAAATCACCTTAGCAACATGCTCCAAAGTCACAGCTTCTGGTATAATGGATGTCCTTAGCCTGACCTGCACAAACCCTTTGCTCCCTCTAAGAGGGAAACATTGCCCAGGTTCTCCAAAACTTGGTGTCAGGATCTTATGGGCATGCTTATGAACAGTACTCCGGGTAGCTAATGGAATCCAACCACCTCTCCCTGCATTTGAAATGATATAGGGCTCTGAGTGCTTCACCACCATCGCTCCACCAGAATGCAACGCATAGTCCACCCTCCCTAAGCCATCAGCAGCATGTTTTGCAATCTCCTTCTCCACGATCTCCCTAGCATACGACCGCACCTCATCCAAATTCACATAGCTAGTCTCCCTTCCTTTCATATCCTTGAACTCTTCCAGGAACTTAACAAGCTCTTCTTTTGACACATACTCTTTTGCTTCCGTTTTGGATACTGATGTCTCCAAATTCATAATCCTTTCATCTAATTCCTTAACTTTTGACTCGAATTCCATTTCTCTTGCCTCCATCTTCTTACTAAGTTCGCCTTTTGCGGTTCGAAGTTCGTTTTCTAGTTTTTTGTCGATCACCTCTACTTGAACTTGCATCAATTTAGTAGTCTTCTTCACAAAATCTTCCACCTCTGCAAGTTTTCCCTCGAAATCCCCCGAGATCAAAGCGAATCCGTCAGTGTCTAGGGTGCGCGATTGGATCACCAATCTCCGAACAATTTCAAAAAATCCGAAGAGGGTTAGCAGAACCAACGAAAGTTTAGTCAATGCTCTGAGCACTGTTAGCCATCTTGGTTTCACCGGCTTGGCAACTCTCTTCGTTGTAGCGGCGCGGCGGGACAAATGTGCGATGCCATTGGAATTAGGCAATGGCGTCTTCACTACCGGGACTGCATTGCGAGTTTCGGTTTTTCTAGAATCTAGGTTAGGTTCCTTGGGAGGAGCGTCGCCTGCCGCGAATATATCGTGGCCTGGGGACGGAGGAACAACGGCGGCTACGACCGTCTCTGTGGCCAAGTTCGAATCAGGTAATTGCGAGAGCGTAGTGAACTGCTGTCTCTCGAGCGCTGCTCGGCGTCGGGTGAGAATGGAGGTTGAATTGGCCGTAACCGACTGCGTAGAAGTTGACATCGTTGGCTACAGGTATCCAGAAAACGGAAGTACAAAATGTTAATGAAGAAAATCGTATATCGTAGTCGTACACAAGGCTGAGCATTTTCGACCGGAAAATCGGACCGGACAGCACCCGCTGATCTAAACAAGGCCCGAACCGGTTATATATTAATCTCGTCTTCAATCCAAAGATTTTTGCGATTTTGGTTCTGCTCCAGTGCGGTCCAAAACTCACAATACTTCGATCCGGACCATACCTCAGAATCAACCAAAACGTAGTAACAATCATACCTCAGAATTTCGACCTCCCTCTATCCAATTAATTCCAAAAGTCTGTCGGTTCCAACATCATGATCAGACATAGAATAGTCCTCTCCAGAAAGATCGAGACTAATCGTTGAAACATTGAGAACATAGAGACTATTAGCGGTTGAATCAGCCTGATTGCCTCCAAAAAGAAATCTATCAACTAAAACAAGTCAAAACACCAACCTAACCCCCTTATATTGTTTGTCACATAACTAACAAAATATAACCCTAACCCCCTATATTGTTTGTCACAGAACTAAAACAGTCTTAACCGAAAATAACAAACTAGAAATAGTAAAATAGTCTTCAAAATCCTAGTCGCACAGTTCCTCTATGATGGCGGTTCGGGAGGGGGACGGATCATCATCTCTTCGTCTTGTTTCCCTATCACTTGAATCTAGAATTCTCCATGTCACATCAAGCAAGTCTTGTTTCCCTATCACTTGAATCTAGAATTCTCCATGTCACATCAAGCAAGACCTAATTTTTTCTGATTCCATATCTTCCGCCTTCTTCATGAATTCAATTTCGTTATTGTCTGACATGCCTTTACCTCTCTCCTTTACCTTATTGTTCACCAGCGCAAGAATCCGACTACTGTGTCCGCCTGTGTAGCCTCCAATGCCTCTTTGTGTCCACTTGCACCTGTGTCGCCCGCTTATTCTCATCATCCACCTCCGCTGCAATAGGACAACCACAACAGTGCGCCTTGCCCCCTAACTGAAGCATGTTGTGTGTACTCTAGCCATCCACCCTTATGTGAATCGTCTTCCGATGTCGAACAAAGCTTCCGAAATCTCACGCGACCCTAGAGAGCTCTACCATCCTCCACTTCAGCCGATACCGCAGTTGTGCTCATCTCTACACTCACAGATCCTAGCTTCGTACCCCTAGCGATCCAAATAGCCGCCGCCAAAATCCTTACGTAATAAACTGTGAAACCTCACGCAAACCTAGAGAGCTCTAAGTGCGGCCGTCCGTGTTTGATTAGATCGGAATTTTAAAATTATATTTGTAAAACATAATATTGGGACAGAGGTAGTATTAAAATATTAATAAATTTCAGATAAATTATAGTAGTACAAATTTAAATAACTAAATCATACATCGGTCTGCTTCCAGGCTTCCTATGAACTAGCAAAGGCGGTGAAAGTGTGAAAGCACTAGTCAAAGTAATGCTATAAATGAAAATATAAATAATTAAACCATACTTCGGTCCGGTTCGGTCCGGTAGCGGTTCTCATAGCATTGTTTAGAATCGGTACGGTCCGGTTCGGGACAAAATGATTGAGATCCGCTTCAAACCCCGTTTTTCGGTCCGGTACCATACCGGTTCGGTTCGGTACCATGTCGGTTTGGTATTTTTGCCCACCCCTATATACCGGGACCTAAAATTATGTAGGAACTAAATAAAGACTGCTTTCTCATAAAACAAAGTCAGTAAAAATACCACCCAACAGTTTTATTAAGCTTAATGAGCAAAACAATAAGGCAGCTAGCCTTAAGTCGTTAGCTGGTTGTTGCCAATTAGAAAGCGCTGAAAATTGAATTATCAATAACAACAACAATAATGGCTCTACAAATTCCCTGTTGAGTACATCGGTGCGGGTGAAATCGGTGATGGCGGGGGTGGTGCGACAGTGGGCTCTGTCCGATGGAAGCAGCTCGGAGGCGTCCCGGGACTCGACCTACACGACGGTCCCGATGGAGCAACCGGGACGTGTTTAGGTAACATGCTCTCGTACTCGAGGGACACTAGACGTTTACTTCTTGCGGCAGCAATAGGCCTACTTGAGAGACATCCGCCAGTTACAAGCAACATGAGGAGGAAGACCATTTGCATGCAAACCACTTTTTGGTTTTGTGGGCACATTATATTAGCTATTCTTTATGTGATTTGGCTTTAAATTTCAAATGGTCTTTCCTTTTTTGGAATGTTTTTGTAATTGGGAACTTATGGTGCGGTAGTATTTATATATTTTAGGAATAGTTAGTAGTTGGTCAGCTATGTCTTTGGACAACAATAATTGTGGTCAAAGGAGACAGTAATTTGTTGTAGTCATTGAGATTAATTACCTATCTCTATTTTGACTATGAGGGTGATGATGATGGGAGATTGGCTGATTGGGGTTGGCAGCTGAGCGCCATGGTACATTTCCATTGGTTAGGCATAGAACATCAACAATGGAAAAAGTCAAATCTAACATACTCCCTTCGTCTCCCATTTTGCAAAGTCAATGCTCCGTGTCGATAATTAATTCAATTTTTAATAACTAAAATTTATATATATATTCAACATTTTTTGGTCAACTAATAATAAAAGTCAATGTTCCGTGTCGATAATTAATTCAATTTTTAATAATTAAAATTTACATATATATTCAGGAACTACATTAAAATCTCTTCAAAGTTGCAAATCCCAAATTAGAATATAATTACAAATTGACATCCTAATTAAGTCAATACAATGAAACTGTCTGACCAAAGAAAGTCAAATTTGCAAATCAATTTGGGACGGAGGTGGTATGAGTTTCTTAAACAAATACCCTTTCCCGGTTTCTAATATTAATGTTTGATCATTGACATTTAAAATATAGACTCATAAAACTTATTCTCCCTCCGTCTCTAAAAGAACTTCCAACTTTCTCTTTTCGTCTGTCCAAAAAAGAACTTCACTTTCCCTTTTTGGCAATGAAATTGTGGTTCACAACAATTCTTACACATTCTTATACATTTCTCTCTCATCTGCACAATTCTCCATCACACAATCCTCACTTTCTTAATCTATGTGTCATTTGTACTATGGAAGAACGTTTAGGGACGTAGAGAGTAATAAACTTGCATTTCAATCATATATACTTTGTATTAAAATGAAGATTCAAAACTATTTTGGTATTACAAAATAATACGGTTTTTGACTAATTAACGGACAAAGTTCACAAAGTTTGACTCAAAAAGTCAAACTGTAAACATAATTGTGGGCCAAACGGTAAACTATAAACTGCTCTCTGTGGAGGGTCAAACTGTAAATTGCTCTCTGCGGAGGGTCAAACTGTAAACTGTAATTTCTATTACAAAAGTCAAGCTGCTAATTCACCCTCTTATAGATGTGGAGTTTTGAGAAAAAAAGTCAACGTACTACATTATTATCCTTATTTTAAATCAACAGATGATTGTTTTCGAACGTCTACTATATCAATGTGTGTGCGCGCGTATGCGCGTACAAGAGGCCTTTTCAGTTTACAATCTTTTTCTTAGATATCTAATAAAATTCATAGTTGTATGTATTGATTGATTTTTGTTAAAGTTAGGATATGCCTCCACAAGATATATAATAGTGTAAACAAAACACTATCTAATTGACAAACTTCTTAATAAGTTTATTATATGTGTGAATTTACAACGGACTTTTTTTTAAATTAGGACGGACAATTGGAAATGAAGATAGTAATAAGAATTAAGAATATAAGAGTTAGTGATTGTTTAATATGGAGATTCTTCCACTACGAAAAATCATACCCATGGTTTTATGATGGGTCATACTCCTCTCTATTTCTTTCTCTCCATTTATTCTCTCCATTTTTTTCACTCTCTCTCCTTAAAAATAATAATTAAACATATTCTTTTCTTTTTCTCTACCCCACCATTTCTCCACCTCTGTCTATCTCTCTCCTACTGGACAGTTCCACAGTTATTGGAGAGGAGCAAAATTCCTTTATGATGAGATGTTCTTTAAATATTCACGAATAAGTTTATAAAGAATTAAAAATGATGAAGGTTTAAAATGGGCATAATAATTGCCTTTAAAAAACAGTCATAATTGGAGTTTGAATCTCTGTTTAAAAGCCTTTAGTTCGCAAGGGTAGTTTTTTATATCGTCAAAACGGATGGTTTAAATTGATATCACATCATTCAGATAGGAGTAAAACGACAAAAGTACCAAAGGCAACTTAGAGTCAAATTACCTCCAAAAAAGCAATATAACTCGTTGATCCTATAATGGGCATAAATGAGTCAATGGCGATTAAAGCAATATGACTCGTTGATCCTATAATGGTCTCCCATCACCCTATCCTAATGCAAGAGTCTTACAATAATAAAAGTAACCAACAAAAAAAATAAACAGTTTGATCATGAAAAATAAATAGCAAGCAATCAGTAAAATTAAAATACTGCTTCCAAACCCTAAACTCTCTTGCATTCCATGGCGGCGGTTCAGGAGGGGGGGCGGTCCAACAGTACTGTAGCTTCTTCCGCTCTGTGCCTCTGGTCCAGATCTGTTCCAACCCCTAGTCTCACGCTTTGTTCATGACCTTCTGATCTCAATCATGAACGACATCCTCGAAACTTTCCACCTGCTAGTAGGGGTACATAACCTTTGGCCGCCATATAGGTGTTGCGGTCTTCCGAAGAAGAGAGCCTCACGAAAGGGAGATGAAATCCGCACAAGAAAGCTGCACTTCGTCGAAGACGAAAGCGGAGAAAAACAATCCCTAAACCTAAGGGAGACGGCCGCCTAGAGAGAGAAGCTCTTGTTAGGGTTTCACTAAGACAAGGGTAGTTAGAAAACAAAGTTGAAGACCGAATGACAGAAACTGCAATTATTATATAAAACCACATTATTAAGCATATACATATATGATTTGATTCTCATAAAATAATAACGCTTATAAATTATTTCCGATATGCTCCGCATTTTTTTATCATCAACTTCAACCATTCTTATTAATCCAAACA